GTTTCTCCTGACTGGTTTTGGAATTGATTGGCACACTTGTTTGATCTCCATCCAATCTGCACAAATCCTAAGGGGCTTGCATGAAACTACATTTCTTTAAAGATAATTTGCTTTTGCTTCTCTCAGATATACTAGAGCTCTAGGAATGCTGGATCAGTTTAAGATAATTTTACACCTTGAAGTTTCCCAAACAATAAAGGTAATGTGTATTTGAATCCAAAATCTGTGGGAAGGCAGAACAGTGACTACAAATTCAGAGGGGAGTCATTTTTCCTACATAAAACTAATGCTAAAAGACAAGGTGCCTCATAACTGCTCATGATCTCAGAACTTATTTGACAGTTTAGTTTTCAACTCCTTCTTTGCATTTGATGCTTTAGAATTTTCTTTACATTTTTTTGAGTTCAGCTATGCATTTAAAAGGATGTTTGTTGTGCTTTATCCACAATTTCTACATGTTTTGTTATAAAAGAGATTTTCAGATATATCTTTTCATAGTAAAAAAACAAAAACAAAAAAACAAGTTCTAGAGTTTCAATCTGATTTTAAAATATCTTTACTGATAAGCACTATTGTGAGTTCCAGAGGTTACCATAACGAAGACTTCAAGAAACATAAGCTAGATGGACAAGACAGATAGGTAAACAATGAACAATACTAAATGAAATGATCACCAAAAGAAGCTGTGGCAAGACAGATAAAAGAAAGATGTTTTATCTCCTAGGACTTCCACTGTTACACACTTTTTACAGATCTGTCATTTGTGTTTCTAAAAGTATTGGTATCCTATCTTTTGGACTTGATTTAGGCAAGAACTGTATTTTATGCTTCTTTACACTTCCCTAAGGTGCCTAGATTAAAAGCAGAATAAATTAGGAACTTCTGTTTCTGGGAAGATGAAACAGACACACTTTTCCCTGTTCCCCCCCTACTAGGTATAATTAAAAATCCTGAATATTACATAAAAACAAACATAAGAAGACTCTGAAAGGTGGAGAGAAGGCCAACTGGCTAGAGACTTTGGGACCTGAGTTACACTACAGTGATAAGTTCCATGTGTTTTCTTTTTGCCTCAAATATCCCAGAGTTGGAACTGAAGATGCTAGCAATTCAGAAATGCCACTAGGTACAGACAAAAAAAAAAAAAAAAAAAATCTAACAAAAGCCTGCTCTCTCTAGTCAAATGACCAGAAAAGAGGCAGCCTAGCAAGAGTGAAAATTTACATAGTAACTATTATTCTATAGCCAAACACCCCAGAAAAAACTCTAGCCTCACCCCCATCCATGCTGCAAAGACTGAGTGGGGAGTCTAGACTTCCTTCCTCATCGGGTCATAAGAAGGTGGGACTATAACAAAAGATCTAGCATTCATGTTATTGGTGTCCTGGAAGGAGAGAAGAAAGAAGGCAGGGCTGAAAAAGTATTTGAAATAATGCCTGAAAACATTCAAATTTGGCCAAAAAAAATCCTCCCCCACAACAACAAAAAAACCACTATAAACCCACAGATTCAAGAAGCTGAGCTAACCTCAAACAAGTTAACCCAAAGAAATCCACATCAAGAAGACACATCGCAGACAAAATTTTAAAAACTAAAGACAAGGGGAAATCCTGAAAAGAGTGAGAGAGAAGCAGAACCATAGAACCTTTCCTATACTACAGGAAATAAAAAATTTGAATGACAGGATCTCTCATCAGGAAACCTGAAGGCCAGAAGAAAGTTGCACAACATTTTTCAAGTTCTGAAAGAGAATTGTCAACCTAGAATTCTGTAACCAGAGAAGAAATCAAGATACATTTTCATATGAACAAAAACCTAGAGGACAATGCCAACAGATCTACCGTAAAAGAATGGCTGAGGAAGTTTTCTAAACAGAAAGAATATGAGGAGAGAAGGAATCTTAGAATGTTAGAGAGGAAGAAAGAGAAAAGGAAAGAGTAAAAATATGAATAAATATAATACATTTTTCTTTCCCTTTGAGTTTCTAAATTACGTTTTATGGTGGGGCAAAAATCATAATACTGTCTGATGTAGTTATAAATGCATGTAAAATGCATTTTTTAAGTGGTGCAGGGTGCACTGCTGTAGGTTAAATTTTTCCCCTCAAAAAGGATATGTTCAAGTCCTAAGTCCCAGTACCTCAGAATGTGACCTTATTTGGAAATAGGGTCATTGCAGATATAATTAGTTAAGATGAGGTTATACTGGAATAGAGTGGGCTCCTAATCCAATATGACTGATGTTCTTATAAGAAAACAACCATGTAAAGACACGGAAATACAAGGACAACACCATGGCATAACAAAGGCAGAGGTGGAAATTATGTGGATAAAAGTCAAGGAGTGCCAAACATTGCCAGCAAATCACCAGAAGCTAAGAAGTAAAGGATGGATTCCCCTACAGGTTGCAAAGGAATCAAGGCCATACTGACACCTTGATTTCTGACTTCTAGCCTCGAGAACTGTGAAACAAAAAATAAAACTATAAACAATATCCTTCATGATTATAGATGTAAAAATCCTTAGAAAATATTAACAAGTATCATTTGGCAACATATAAAAACAATTTTATACCATGATTAAGTGGGGTTCGTTCAGAATACAAAGATGGTTCAATATTTGAAAATCAATCAATGTAATAACACCATACTCAGAGACTGCAGAAAAAATCATATGATCAAATCAACTGATATTGAAATGTCTGACGAAACTGAACAACTTCCTCAACTTCATAAAGAACATCTACAAAAACCATACAGCTAACACTGCACTTGAGTTAATGGTGAAAGACTTAATACATTTCCCCTAAATCTGAAAACAAGGCAAAGATATCTACTCTCACCACTCTTATTCAATATAGTCCTGGAAGTTCTAGAGAGGATAATAAGGCAAAAATGGAAATCAAAAGCACATACATTAGAAAGGATGAGAAAAACTGTCCCTATCTGCAGCAAATCTCAAGGAATCTATAAAAGTCTTCTAAAACTATTAAGTTCAGCAAGGTGGCAGAATACAAGATAAACATAAGGAAAACCAACTGTATTTCTATATGATAGTAATGAACATGTGGACACCCAAATTTAAAAATAAAATACCATTTACAATTGCTCAAGAAATGGAAACTCCAAAATGTCGAACAAAATCAAAGATGATCAAAATAAATGGAGAGACACAAAATAATAAACACAAAATAAATGTGTTTATAGACTGGAAGACTCAACATAGTAAAGATGTGAATTCTCTGCAAATTGATATGCAGGTTTAATACAATTCCTATCAAAATCCCAACAAAAATTTTAAATATACACATATTTAAATATATATTGTAAAATTTATATGGAAAGCAAATGAACCTAAACTTAACCTTTTTTCAATTTTGAAAAGAACTGAGAGGAATCATTAGTCTACATGATTTGAAGCGTTGTTTTATATTTATAGCTATATATATAGCTACAGTAATCAAGAGAGTGTAGCACTGATGGAGGGAGAGAGACACAGATCAATGTAACAAAATAAAAAACCCAGAAATAGATCCACACAAATATATATATGAATCATTTTTGAGGAAAGAGCAAAAACAATACAGTGGAGAAATTTCAGATAGCCTTTTCAACCAGTGGTCCTGGGGCAGATGGACATTCATAGGTAAAAAAAAAAAAAAAATGGACCTTGACCTAAGCCTTATACCTCATATGAAAATTAACTAAAAATAAATCATGAACTCAAATGTAAAATGTAAAACTATACAGAACTTTTAGAAAAAAAAACAGGATAAAATCTAGGGTTAGGGAGAGAGTCCTTATATTTGACACCAAAGTATGATTCATAAAATGAAAACTGATAAATTGGACTTCATCAAAATTAAAAACTTTTTTGCTCTATGAAAGACTCTGAAGAGTATGAGAAGACAAGGTATAGACTGAGAGAGAAAATATTTGTTATCTACATATTTGATGAAGGATTAGTATCTAAAATATATAAAGAACTCTCAAAACTCAACTGAAAAAAAAGAGAAACGATACCATCAGAAAATGGGTAAAGACACGAACAATCATTTCAACAAAGAGGATATACAGATGGCAAATAAGTACATGAAAATATGTTCATCTTTAGACATTAGGGAAATGAAAATTAAAACCACAGTGAGAGATTAGTGCATACCTGTAAGAATGGCTAAAATAAATAGTGACAACAGGAAATGTTGACAAGAATGCAGAGAAACTGGGTTACTCATACACTGCTGGTGGAAATGTAAAATAAAATGGTAGAACCACCTTGGAGAACAGTATGGCAGTTCTGAGAAAAACTAAACATATAACCATGATACAACTTAGCAATTTCACTCTGGGCATTTATTCCAGGGAAAGGAAAATTTACATTCACACAGAAACCTATAAACAAATGTTCACAGCAACTTTATTCTTTATAGTCAAAAACTAGAATCAATCCAGATGTCATTTAACAGGTCAGTGGTTAAACTGTGGTACATCCATATCACGGAATACTTCTCGGCAATAGAAAGGGATGAACTATCGACAGACTCAACAACATGAACTGATCTCCAGTAAATTATGCTGAGTGCAAAAGGCCAATCCCAAAGGTTATTATATATACTGTATGATTCCATTTATATAATATTTTTGAAATAAAAAAATTATAGAAATGAAGGATTAGTGAATGCCAGGGATTAAGGATAGGCGGTGAGAGGATGGGGTAGGAGAGAAGTGGGTATGGCTATGAAAGGACAACACAGGGATGCTTGTACCAACGGCATCGTTCTGTATCTTGACTCTGCCAATGTCAAATCCTGGTTGTAATGTTGTACTATATAGTTTTGCAAGACATTATCAGTGGAGAAAATTGGTAAGGGGTATAGAAGATCTCTATTATTACAATACATGTGCTTCTACAATTACCTCAAAATAAAAAGCTTAATTAAAAAAGGATACACCCAGAAATCATATTATTTATTTATTGAGCACATGCTGTATGGTCAGGTCCCATGGAAATTACTCACATGAATATTTATTATTTAATCTTCATAAACTCTATAAAGATTATGACTATTTCCTAAATCATCTCTCTGGAGTACTGATTCTTTCTGACACTGTCTTCCTTAAATAGTGTATTGTAAGAAGGGTTCTGAGTCAAGTAGTTTGAGAAAAAAAAAAGAATTTTTTACTATAGGAATATTTCAAGGCAATATACTAATGTACATTATAAATATTCAAAAGGAGGCCATCATACAGTTTTCCTCAGATTAATGTAGGAACTTTTGTTTTTACAGGACGCCAATTAACACCTTGCTTAAAGAACTAGTATTTATTATCTTATATCACAATAAATGTTGGCCTAAAGTTTTCTATCAATATCACTGTTAGAATTGGGTTTTATGTGTTATTTCAATTTAGGCTATAGATTTATTGCTTGAATGTAATCTAATCATACTGTTGATCCAAACCACTTACCATGTAACAATATAAATAGATCGAAGTACTAATGTGAAGACCAACATTCCATACATGACCTGAATAAGAAAGGAAAAATGAAGTTAGTAAAATCATTATTCTTTGGCAAAGGAAGTATATTTTACCTACAAAAATAGCCCTCTCAATAAAATGTAAATATTATCTTTTGTTACATTTTAAAAAACAGACTTTTTGCAAATATCTTCTCCCATCCACAGGCTGCCTTTTAGATTTGCTGTTTCCTTTACTGTGCAGAAGCTTTTTATTTTGATGAAGTCCCAACAGTCTATTTTTGCTTTTGTTTTCCTTGCCTCTGGAAACATAACTAGAAAGAAGTTGCTATGGCTAATGTCAAGGAGGTTACTGCCTGTGTTCTCCTCTAGGATTTTTATGGTTTCAAGTCTCAGATTTAGGTCTTTAATCATGTTTAATTCATTTTTGTGTATGGTGTAAGAAAGTGGTCCAGTTTTATTCTTTTGCACGTGGCTGTCCAGTTTCCCCAACACCATGTGTTGAAGACACTGTCTTTTTCCCAGTAGAAATTCTTTCCTGCTTTTTCAAAGATTAATTGACCATATGGTTGTGGGTTCATTTCTGGGTTTTCTATTCCATCCCACTGATCTATGTGTTTATTTTTGTGCCAGTACCATACTGTTTTGATTACTACAGCTTTGTAATATAACTTGAAGTCTAGAATTGTGATGCCTCCAGCTTTGCTTTTCTTCTTCAAGGTTTGCTTTTGCTACTCGGGGTCTTTTGTGGTTCCTTACAAATTTTAGAATTGTTTATCTGATATAGGGTTAGTATCGAAAATACATAAAGAACTTATAAAACTTGGGGCACCTGGGTAGTGCATTTGGATAAGCTTCCGCCTCTGGGTTTCAGCTCAGGTCATGATCTCAGGGTCATGAGATCAAGCCCCGAATTGGGCTCCATCCTCAGTGCAGAGACTGCTTGAGATTCTCTCTCCCTCTCCCTCTGTCCCGCCCACTAATGCTCTCTCTCCCTCTAAAACAAATAAATAAATCTTTAAAAAAACCCATAAAATTCAACACCTGAAAAACTAATAATCCAGTTAAAAATGCACAGAAGACATGAACAGACAATTCTCCAAAGAAGACATACAGATGGCCAACAGACACATGAAAAGATGCTCAACATCACTTTTCAATTCAAAGTATTTTCCGGTATCTATGATTTCTTTGATCCATGTGTTATTTAGAATTATATTACTATATACTATATTACTATATACTATATTACTAATTATATTACTTATATTTATTATATTTACTTATATTTAACATAATTGCATTATAGTTAGAAATTATATTCTGATTCTAATCCTTTGAAATTTAAGATGCTACGTGGGTAAGTGGTCAATTTTTGTAAATGTTCTCTAAGGGTTTGAAAACAATGTGCTTCTGCAATTGTTGGATGCAGTATTTTACATTTGGCTTATGGGTCAAGTTTCTTTTTAATTAGTTAATTAATTAATGTCAGGGAGAGAGAGAGAGACTGCATGAGTGGGGAGGGGGGTAGAGGGAGAGGGAGGGAGAGAATCCTCAAGCAGACTCCCTGCTGAGTGGGGAGCCCGACACCGGGCTGGATCCCAGGACCCTGAGATCATGACCTGAGCCAAAATCAAGAGTTGGCTGCCCAACTGGCTGAGCCCCCATGGGTCAAGTTTCTTAAACATGTTGTTTAAATATTTTATATCTTATATCAATTACTGAGAGGTATGTATTAAAATCACCTAAAATTATAGATTTGTCTATTTTTTCTTTTAGTTCTGTCAATTTTTGCATTATATATTTGAGACATTATATGTATTAGAGATATATACAAATTTTAAATTATTACAATTTTCTGATGAATTAAATATTTTTAACACTATGAAGTAAACCCTTCTTAACAAGAGAAATGTTTTTCCCTTAAAGTCTATTTTGTTCTATAATAAAACAACTATACCACATATACATATAACACAATTATGCTTAGTGTTTGCATGGTATATATGCTTTTCCATACTTTCACTTTCAACCTTTCTATATCTTTATATTTCAGGTGGACTCTTTTATAAAGCCTTGATATGACTCCTGCCTACTACTTGTAGTCTCTCTATAACGGTAGACTCCAACAAATATTTATTAAGCATTGTATTAGACCCTGAGGATATAATGGTGTGGAGTAAAGGATTAATATCAAGCATCTTCTTGATGTAGGCCTGGTTAAGAATGACCTCAGTCTCCCAGCCTTGAATACAAGAGTTAAGATAAATGGAAAATGTTATGTCTGCTTTGGTTGTGAAGGACTGCACCTAGGTTGGAGGCTTGGGGCCTGCATGAGTAGAGTATGAAAGGTGCTCATTATAAAGAATGGTAGGAAAAAGGGACTGCAGCTTCTGTGAGTTATAATGACCTCCACTACACTTAGCTCTCATCCCTGGCAGCTGTACATAACTTATGTGGATGAGAGGGCAAAAGAATCTGTACATATAAACAGCTCTGGATCTCCTGATAAGATGAAAATGTTATACCTGCTGTATTCTCCCCCATGTACCCCTTTACAGAGCTAAGTAAACACAGCATTAGATTAAACCTGATTAGAAGCTGATTGCCAGATTAAATCCACAGATGCAGCCATGATGCTCTAATGGTGAACAAGGAAGGCATGATCCCTGCCCTCACAGCAATTACAACCTAGTGTGGAAAGAGGTAAGTAATCGGGCAATTGAAAATGTAGTATTTAAACTCTGTGACAGGGACTGTACAAGGTACTTTGTAAGCATATACGAAAGCCACCTAGATCGGAAAGACTTTTATGGAGGATATGATTTTTAATTTTATAATTGAAGCTTTACTAGAAACATCATTAAGAATCACAAATATTATTAAGAGAAGCTAGAAAAGGGGCGCCTGGGTGGCTGAGTCAAAAGTATTGGATTCTTGATTTCAGCTCAGGTCATGACCTTGTGTCTTGAGATCAAGCCCTTGTGTCAGGGTGTGCTCTGGGTGTGGAGACTGCTTGAGATTCTCTCTCTCCCTCTGCCCCTCCCCACCCCATGCACACGTACTTTCTCTCTCTCTCAAAAAAAAAAAAAAAAAAGAGAGAGAGAGAGAGCGATTGGAGCTGGAAGAAAATAACTGGCATTGCTTATAGGAAAAAAGAAAGTATGTCTAGAATATATTGTTGGAGGCAAGAGTGGGAAAAATGAAGTCAGAAAGGTAAAATCAGAGGTCAAGTCTGGCTTTTCAAGTCATGTTGAGTTGAAATTTACCTTATAAAAAAGGGAAGTCAATGGAAGTTTCAGTGATAGTGCAACATGATCACTCGTGTCCCTCTCTTGCTGGGTGGAGAATGAATTAGAGGGAGTCAAGACCAATGGAAAACCAACTAATGACAGGTAACCTAGGTAATGGGGCCTGAACCAGGGTAATATCAGTGGGAATAGAGAGAAACAGATTAGAGAGTTATTTAGGGCTTGGACTGATGATAATTTGATATGGCAGTTAGGAAGAGTTGGGAAAGTCAACAATGGCTTGGTTTATGACTTTAGCAGTTAGGTACATGGTGAAATTGTTCCTTGGATTAGGGAATAAGAAAGAGAAGAAACACTGGAGAGAAAAATGGTGATTTCATTTCTAGATATGTTCAGAGTTTGAGGTGTCAGTGAGATATCCATGTAGCTATCTCTGAGAACAGATGTTAGATATCTGGGTCTAAATCTTAGAAGAAAAAATCTAAGCTGAAAAAACAAGATTTAGGAATCATCACCATACAGAAGTCAAGGGGAATGGATTGTTCGAGTACGTTAAACACATCAAATAATGGATAAGTTTGAACCTATACTCTCTGGCAGTGCACTGAGGCTTTTCCAAATTAATTTTCTTCTTTCCACGAGTACTCCACCCCATACATTCTGATTCTCTCCTAGGATCTGTGGCAGACCCTGCTAGTGACTCACTCAGTATCTAATCTCTCATTTTTTTTTTGTCTTAATAGAAGGCTGATTTTATTTGGCCAACAATATGTCCAGCTATAAAATCTTGATTTCTCAGTCTCTCTTGCAGCTAGAGGTAGCCACATGACCTTCACAACTTTTTTCTATGCATATTCTAGTATTAGTCATTTTTAAAATAAAAGATAATAGAATACATACTTTTTTGCTCCTTGTAATTTTCACCTAAAAATATTTTCATTCTGATAATAAATTAAATTCCAAAGTAATCTGCTACAGGGGCATCAACATATCATAGAAGGAATATGGGCTAGGGCGCCTGGGTGGCTCAGTCGTTAAGCGTCTGCCTTCGGCTCAGGTCATGATCCCAGGGTCCTGGGATTGAGCCCCGCATCGGGCTCCCTGCTCCACAGGAAGCCTGCTTCTCCCTCTCCCACTCCCCCTGCTTGTGTTCCCTCTCTTGCTGTCTCTCTCTCTCTCTGTCAAATAAATAAAATAAAATAAATCTTAAAAAAAAAAAAAGAAGGAATATGGGCTTTGGAATAAAAAAGACCTGGGTTCAATTTTCAGCACTGCTAGTGAGTAGGTGAGAAACACTGGACAAATTATTTAACCTTTCTGACTCTCAGTTATCTCACCTATAAAATGAAGATGGTGGGGCGCTTGGGTGGCTCAGTTGTTAGGTGTCTGCCTTCGGCTTGGGTCATGATCCCAGGGTCCTGGGATCGAGCCCCACATCGGGCTCCCTGCTCCACGGGAAGCCTGCTCTCCCTCTCTCACTCCCCCTGCTTGTGTTCCCTCTCTCTCTGTGTCTCTGTCAAGTAAATAAATAAAATCTTTAAAAAAATAAATAAATAAAATGAAGACGGCAATTTCTATACAGGTTGATATTTAGTAAGGTAACAGGTAAGTCAATCTGTATAAACTATATGAAAGAGGGGCGCCTTGGTGGCTCAGTCAGTTAAGCCTCTGCCTTCAGCTCAGATCATGATCTCAGGATCCTGGGATGGAACCCGCATCAGGCTCCCTGCCCAGCGGGAAGCCTGCTTCTCCTTCACCCTCTGCCTGCTCCTTCCCCTGCTTGTGGTCTCTCGCTTGCTATCTCTCTCTGTCAAATAAATAAATGTTTAAAAAAAACTATATGAAAGAATATATAATACTCAGCACGTAGCAGAGACTAAAAAACGTCAGCTTCTTTTCCAAGTGTGCGTACATAGTAAGTTCCTTATATCCCTAATTTGTAATAAAATGGCACAAATAAAACATAACAGGGGAAGCCTAGGTGGCTCAGTCGTTAAGCGTTCAGCTCAGGTCATGGTCCCAGGGTCCTGGGATGGAGCCCCGCATTGGGCTCCCTGCTCATCGGGGAGCCTGCTTCTCCCTCTCCCTCTGCCTGCCGCTCCCTCTGCTTGTGCTCTGTCAAATAAATAAAGTCCTTAAAAAAAAATAACAGAATAAAATTTAAATAAATCTGCTTAAGTTCCTGTTTTTCAATTTGTTTATATAATACGTTCCTTCTTACAAACCTTGAGGGTTAAGTTAGAAGGGAGAGTAGTAAAATACTGATGTGTCCTGTCTAGAAATAATCTCTAGGAGGCAGCTACTTTGGCAGGAAGATTTTAAGCAATAGTACTCTCTGAGATAATAGATGAAATCTCATCTGAGATATTCAATTACTGATTAATTAATTGGCTTAAAGAGGGTTCACTAACTTCTTAAAAGTTCTTTTAACCTATTTTCATGTATACTTTTTTTGTTGTTGCTTTCTTACTTAAGATATATTAGTCTTTCTACTGAATGTGGCTGGCATATGATTTTAGCATTATCCTTTGCAAGGCCATCAAATTAAATAAATAGCATTTGGCTCTCTTTTGGAGATGTGTGGATCACCTTGGATTTAATACAGTAAAGTAAAACTGTTATCAGTATTTTCTCCTTCAGGGAAGCTAATCTGGTTAACAAGACAATCATCCTGGCTGTGGCAGATACCTTTAAAGTGTTCATTAACTCTTTCCTTCTAATTGTATATCACCACCACTTATCTGTCTGGTCCCTACTCAAATATCTCCTTTCAGAAGCTTTCTGTGGGGCGCCTGGGTGGCTCAGTTGGTTAAGCGACTGCCTTCGGCTCAGGTCATGATCCTGGAGTCCCGGGATCGAGTCCTGCATCGGGCTCCCTGCTCAGCAGGGAGTCTCCCTCTGCCCCTCTTTCCTCTCGTGCTCTCCATCTCTCATTCTCTCTCTCTCTTAAATAAATAAATAAAATAATCTTTAAAAAAAATAAATAAATAAAAAAGAAGAAGCTTTCTGTGATTATCATAGGCAGAAACTTAACCCCGTAATCTTACACCTTCATATGTACTTTATTGTCACACTATTACTGTATTCATTGCCTTGTGCTTTACCTTATGTAGCATTTTTATATTATCCTTGTTGAAAGAAAACCTCTCCTGTTTTAAACATTTTATAGATGAGGAAACTGAAGAACAGGCACAGCATGTCCATGGATAATGAAGTGGCAAGAAATTGAGATTCCAAACTTCAAGAAATCAAAGTGGTAAGAAATCAAAATTCCAAACTCTCAAGCCAGAGTTCCTTTATATTAGATAACACTGCTCTTCCCTCCTTCTTCCATTATTTCTAAGATCTTGAAACTTACTGTAAATTTAGCCACAAATTCCAAAACAATTTTTCTAATTACAAATTTCAAAACAATTTTTCCAAATTTCTGCATATAAGATCAACAGTGATATAAAAGAATAAGAGCGATATTCCACAAACTCAGACAAAAAGAAGATTCTCAGAAAAAGCAGTTCTCTTTTCTTAAGAATGATACTCAGAAACTAATTAGGAATAGATTTTTTTAAGCCATTAAGTACAAATAAAAAATATCGATTCTGGGGCACCTGGCCCCCCACCTGGCTGGCTCAGTTAGTAGAGCATGCAGCTCTTGATCTCAGGGTTGTGAGTTCAAGCCCGACGTTGGGTGTGGAGCTTACTTTTTAAAAAGAAGAAAATCAATTCTAATTACTTAACAGGACAGCAAAGAATATTCCAGATTAGACTTTGGGGCAAAGACCTCTTCAAATAAAACATTACAAATAGCGAGAAATACTACTGTATTACAATAGTAGGTCATCTTCCCTATTTTGTTTTTCAATATTAGAGGAAGTAATAATTTAGCTATATGCAATAGTTATATTTTGTAATCCTATCCTGAGTCATCTAAGCAGACAGACTGCACCCTTGTCTACATTAGCACTGCTTTTACATACATACTATAAATACCTTTTTTTTACAAGTCTATCTATCCAGTGAGCTCCTTGAGACCAGTAACCATATCTTACTTGCCTTGGTTTATTAATATTAGTTAACATTTACTGACTGCTTACCATGTGGTAGGGGCTTTATATGCATTATCTCATTTATTTTTAAATTTATTTTAGTTTTAAAAAGATTTTATTTTTAAGTCATCTCTACACCCAACATAGGGCTCGAACTTACAACCCTGGGATGAAGAGTCACATGTTCTATTGACTGAGCCAGCCAGGCACCCCAGCATCACCTCATTTAATCTTCAGACAACCTTAGATTATTATACCAATTTTAGAGATACAGTATAATGAGCTCCTCAAGAGCAGAGACCCCATTATTTTATTCACTAGTATTTCTCTTATGCGTAGCCCAGCACCTGGCATACTGAAGTTACTTAAAAAGTGGTTGTGGAATAATGAGGAAACCAAAGCTCAAAGAAGTTGAGTACTTGTCCAGGGTATACAGTTAGTAAGTAGAGACTCGATCTGAATCCAGGTCTGCCTGATTTTAGATATTCAAATTTTTGCTCCACTGCCTCTGTATTTCCAACTTCAAGCTCAGAATTTGGTACTGAGAAGGTACACAGTGGACATCTGTTGAATGAATGAATGTCTTCTACCTTCAGACTGCTTACCCACTTCACCCTACCATTCCTCTACTTCTTCACTTCCCTCCTGAGAGGCCTAGTATATAACCCATAGCTGTAAGCTTTCATCCTCCCTCCCTCCCTTCCTATTAGCAAACATTTACTACTATCTACAGAAAAGAAGATATGTATTACTGAAAAAACACATGAGAGTTGCAGCATGGGAAGTTAGATGAATAGTTTGTTACTTTTATTACATAAACACACTATAAAATAGGTCTAAAACACAAAATGGAAAATTGATCATAAACTTACAAAAATTAACCCCAAATTTCTGAATTTTGTTTTTTTGTGCTTATGATTTTTCTTTCTTATAAAGACAAATAAGAAATTTATAAAAGTGAAGTATTCTTCATATAAGCTTCATCCTCTACAGTGTGTCAATAAATTTTTTTTTAAAGATTTTATTTATTTATTTGACAGAGAGAGAGAGAGAGTGCACAAGTAGGGAGAGCAGCAGGCAGAGGGAGGAGCAGGCTCCCTGCTGAGCGGGGAGCAGGCTTGATCCCAGGACCCTGGGGTCATGACCTGAGCCGAGGGCAGACGCTTAACAACTGAGCCATCCAAGTGTCCTTCAATAAATTTTTCTAAATAAAGAGGTAATTCCATAATGACATACTTCAAGCTAGAATAAACAGGAAAGTGAGGATGTCCTCTCTTGTAATATCTACTTTAGGCTCGCCTGTAGAAAAGCAAGGCACAATAATGTAGTTTTGGAATTTAAGAAACAGGTTTCAGTTAGATGATTATTATCTAGTTTAAGTTTAAAAAGATACAGGAACACTTACTTTTTATAAAAGCACAAAATATTCTAAAACTACAAGGCTTCTGATACTCCTGAAATGTGTCCTTACTTATTGTTTGTTTGTTTTCTAGTTTGTTAAAAGAATTGTGATAGGAGTCAAACAAATCTAGGTTACAATCCTGGCTCTGCCCCTTAATAATTGTGTAACTGCTGGGCAAATTCTCAGTATTTCTGAGCTCATTTCCTTTAAAATGTGAACAGTAATCCCTAATTTGTAGGACTGCTGGGGAGATTAGAGTCTGTGCAGTAATGGTCATAGCGCCAGGCACATGATAGCACTCAATTAACAACGGCTCTCTTTATTTAGGGTCTACTACTTTATTTTCCTCTGGTTTCATTATGGGATACACTTAAATCATTATTTCCTACAGCAAGCTTTCCTATGTCTGCTTTCCTCAATGTAAATAACCTCCCACATTAAAAAATTCATAAAATATTAGGAGGGGAAATATTCAAGGAATTTTCAGTCTATCTTTTCTAGAAAATAATGTCATAAAAAGGACCTTGTATGTGTATGTGCATGAATGCTTTCTGTTTTTTTCTTATAAGAGCAATGCTACACCTGCATTACTGACTACCAAAGCCAGCCGGGCCTGGGCATTGGCATCCTTTAGGCACTTGAGTTTGCAAACTCTGTTTTAAACACTTTCATAGGACATCTACCATTTTATTTTCAGAAACTGTATCACATATAATTTACCAGAAAGGGAAACACAATGCAGGCAAGTACTGTTAAACAATCAAGTGTGTAATAATTTTTTAAAATTACCTGATGGAATATAGGCTCCTTTACCTTAAGGTAAACCTACAAAATATTAAAAGAAACACATGTGAATGAAGTGCATTATTGAAGGGGAAGAAAACTTATTCCAACCATTCTGCAAATCCCAAACCTCTCTTGCTTCCCTAGTCCTGCTACTTAGATCTGACTCTAGCCACGTAAAACCAATCAGATTAGGTGGCGTGCCACAGAAGGGCTAGTACCTACAGGTGGGTCTCCCCCAGTGCTAGCTTTACCATGGTAAACTAAATGTTTCAAAGCTATTGTGGATTACTCTGGCCTCTTAGCTTCTACATCAGCATCAGGGAAGGGCACAGGTACTCAGATAGGAGGGGTGAAGAGGTTCTGTTGACAATGTCTATAACACATTTTTTCTACAACACAAAGAACACTGGACTTAGAGACAGGTGGTAAATTTCAGAGTCTGCCACTTACTTGCTATAGACCTTGAGCAAATCACTTAACCAAAAGACTCATTTTTTCATTATCTGGATAATGGGAGTAACAGTGGTGAGGAATAATAAGCTAAAATACATGAAAGTATTTAGCATATAATGCATGCTCAGTAACTGAAAACATTTAAAACAAATTTCTTGTGCTTTTACTTCCAAACACACTCACCTAGATGCGTAACTCATCACCTAAATGCATTCCCAATTACACATATCCTAGTTTTAGGCTCCAATATCATTTGGGTGATTAAGTTCAATGCCTATTTAGGCTTTAGCATGCATTTACTGCCCTGTAGGAGTATGCCTTTAAAATGACATGGTAGAGAGGAATCAAAATTCAAATCATAATCCTGAAATGGCTCCCATCACTTACAAGACAAAGTCCAAATTTCAAAGCTTTCCATGATTTCACTCCTGACTTTCTGCCTGGCCTCACTGCTCTCCTCTTATCCCTTTTTCATCCTAGGCTCCAGAAAGTACAGTGCTTCCACATCTTTAAACATGCTGCTCTTTACTTTGTTCAGAAATCCTCGCATGCTGGCAAACATTCATCTTCCAAGATCCCGCTCAAACTATCCCTCTTTCTTGAAGACTTTCCTGGTCCCTTCTCCATTCAGCAGGAGCAGCCATTCACCCTCCTTTATGCCCTCGCTGACCATGTATAAACATCATGTAATTTATTGGTTTGTTTCTCTCCCCTGCAAGACAGTCATCTCTTTGACAGCAAAGGCTGTGCTCAGGTATCTCTATATCCTCATTTAATGTAGAGCTGACCTCACAAAAATTTTATGTAATTTTACAATTTGGCTGCAAAATTTCTTTATTTTGGGAGAAAGTTCCTACCCTCACACAATAAGAGCAGAGTATTTCCTTTAAGCATCCATAGAGCTTTAATAGTAAGGTGTATATGAGACACTATATATCTGTAACTCTAAACTCAGTAAGGAAGAATGCTTTTCACCTCTGAAATGTGTTGTTTCAAAATACTAATTTCCCTTTGCATAGTTTCATATAACTACTGCTATTAATAAAAGAAATGCAAAAGGAAATGCCTCTTAAAGATATTTTTTAAGGCGAAAGAATTACGGAGTCCTTACTGTGTGCCAGGTATTAATTTTTACAACTTAATATGAAATGTATGCTATTATTATCTTCATTTTACAGATGAGGAAATTAACGCAGGGAGATTAAGTAACTTGTCCAAGGTTCCCAGTTATTAAGTAATAGTGTTGGTCCAAACTCAGATCTGACTGACTCCCAAGCCTGTAATTCTGACCACATCAGTTCTGAACTTACAAAGGGGTCCAGTTTTAACTCTGCCACCAATTCTCCACATAAACTTGGCTGGCCAGGCAAGTCACTAAAACTCTCTGGACTTTAGTCTCTCTCTTTTTTTTAAGATTTATTTATTTGAGACAGAGAGCACAGAAGGAGAGTGAGAAGGAGAAGCAGACTCCCCGCTGAGCAGGGAGCCCAACGTGGGGCTCGATCCCAGGATCCTGGGATCATGACCCGAGCCGAAAGCAGCTGTTTAACCAACTGGGCCACCCAGGCGCCCTGGTCACTTGGGTCTTTTAATTGAAATTTTTATAGGTCAAACTTCAATCTTTATTTTACTTATCCTCTCAGAGGCAACTAATACTGTTATTCCTTCTAGAAATCTCTTTGTACTCTGTTATATTGGGCTCTCTCGTTTTCCTAGATCTCTGATTACTTATTCTAGGTCTCCTTTGCTAGCTCCATTTCTTCTACCTGACCCTCAAATGTCAGTGTTCCCATGTACAGCATGGTAATTATAGTTAATACTAGGTTGAATACTGGCAATTTACTAAGAGAATAGATTTCATGTGGTCTCATCTCTCTCTTTCTCTCTCTCTCTCACACACACACACACACACACACACAGGTGAGAAGATATGTTAATTAGCTTGCCTAGCATAATCATTTCACTATGTATCAAAGCATCATGTTTTATACCTTGAATGTATATAGTTTTTTTTTTTAAAGCGAGGACTCTTATTGAAATCTTGAGGCATTATGAAAGTTTGCAAACTGACAGGCTGTGAATAACAAACAAAATACTCTTGTTTAACTCTGTTAAAAAAAAAAAAAGAAGTGGGGGTGCCTGGGTGGCTCAGTCGTTAAGCATTTGCCTTTGGCTCAGGTCATGATCCCACCAGGGTCCTGGGGTCGAGCCCCGCATCGGGCTCCCTGCTCGGCGGGAGACCTGCTTCTCCCTCTCCCACTCCCCCTGCTTGTGTTCCCTCTCTTGCTGTGTCTCTCTCTGTCAAATAAATAAATAAAATCTTTAAAAAAAAAAAAAAAAGAAGTGTTCCATAGGGTTGCATCTTTGGTCATCTTAATGGTTCATGCTATCTTTGTGCCTGTTCATCTATTCCCACATTTCTAGTACTACCTAGACCCTGAAAATTCTCAAATCCACATCACATGCTTAATCTGTTAGAAACAAGCTATGACTTACTGTGGTTACTATTAAACTGAATAGAACTAAAATAAAAAGCAGGTGGTAGTTTACAGAGTTCTTCATCTTGAAACATTCAAACCTTTTAAAAAAGAGAGAAAGAAAGAAACTCATTTTAGAATATATAACTAGTAAAACAAATAGAATGCTGTCTTACCACTTGTATACACACCTTTGGGTCTAGTGATGCCCATCATTTCCTCCCACCCAAACTCTTATCTCAGGGAACTTGTACACCCAGAGCCTCCAAGAAGCTGGGGAAATCAGAAGGCACCTGGCTTAAATGGGTCAATGAGAAGCTCTCTCCTGAAAACTTGGGAGTTTGGGAGTCAGAGACTGAATCAATTAAATGTGGAGAGTCAAAGTATAAAGCCTTATGGATTGAAAGTCTGATGCTGACATTTAGGCAGCTAAATTGAGTGGACGAGAAGATGAATGAGCAGAGAAGTGATCTGCATGGAGGGAAAAATAAAGCAAATTCAAAGACGAGACCATGCAGAGAAGAAGGAATGGAGAAAAAAAGGGTGAGAGAGAGAAGCTGCCCTTGAGTTGTAGTAAGGCTGTACTTCCTGCTATTGGGTTTCATATAATTTCCTCATGTCCTTAAATAAATTTCTCTTAACTCAAGCTGGCTTGAGTAGGTTAAATCTTGCAATGAGCCATCCTTGACTAAGGCACACTATTACAGAAAATATCACTTTATTATAATTGCCTCTTTATGGGTCTCCTCAACCAGACTATGAACTCCTGTGTGCAGGGATAAAATCTTTTTCTCATGTATCTAATCACTAGGCTAGCAAATACTCAGTAAATAAGGAAATATGAACAAATATTTGACCATCGGTTAGGTATCCAACCTTTGAACCTAAGTTTTAGTAGAAGCAGCAGGAGAGTTCTCAGTTTACTCATTAATTGGCTGTGGGAACTGGACCCAAGTCCTATTTCCTTATCTCTACAGAAAGGTGGTTGGCCCAGATGATTTCTAAGATCTCTTTTACCTTCAAATTCTGTGACTTGATGACTCATTTAAAAAAGATCACCTGAAAATACTTTTCTAGATCAGGGGCAGCAAACTACTGCCCAAAGACCCAAGCTTGTTTTTGTAAATAAAATTTTACCAGAACAGTCACACTCATTTGTTTACATATTATCTATGGCTGCTTCAATGCTACCATAGCAGTTGAAGAGCTGCAACAGAGACCACAGGCCCATGAAACCTAAAATAATTACTACCTGTCCCTTTACAGAAAAAGTTTCAGATGAGCTTTTATTTTTTTTTTTAAGATTTTATTTATTTATTTGAAAGAGAGAGAAAGAAAGAGCAAGAGCAGGGGGAGGGCCAGAGGGAGAGAGGGAGAGAGAGAGGCAGACTCCCTGAGGAGCAGGGAGCCCAACACGTGGCTGGATCCCAAAGGCAGACGCTTAACTGATTGAGCCACCCAGGTGCCCCCAGATGAGCTCTTTTAAGTAATATATTTCTCAAATGATTTTGATTTTCAGATATCTTTAGAATAAAATATTCTTGGGGTGCCTGGGTGGCTCAATCAGTTAAGCATCAGACTCGTGATGTCGGCTCTGGTCATGATCTCAGGGTCTAGAGATCGAGCCCCACATCAGGCTCTGTGCTGAGTGTGGAGCCTGCTAGGGATTCTCTCTCTTCCTCTGCCTCCCCACCCTCTCTCTCTCAAAAAAAAAAAGGGGGGGGGGAAGAAGAAGAAAATATACTTGAGCTAGTATTAATGATCATATTGAAAAGAGATAACCATCATATAAGGAGTTTAGAGAAATTTTAAGTACTAGTGCTAGGGAATTAAGCACATACTTAGAAGGTAAGTTTATTAAATTTGTAATTCAATTTCCAACTCTGACACTTACCAGCTACATGGCCTTAGGCAAGTCACCTAAGCATAAATTCTGCTTATATCCTTAGACAAGTTACTAAATCTCTCTGTGCTTCACTTCATCATCTATATAATGGGGATAATACCCATTTATCTTGTACAACTGAAAGAATTAGAGATGATTTGTATAATACCTACCACAATTACAGGTACAAAGTACACAAATATTATTTTTATGGCTTAATATATAAAATTTTTATCTACATTTATAACTCAAGGAAAGGAAGATTACACAAGTTAAGTCAAATTGAAGTAAGAGTATTTAAACTGGCCCTAGGGTTTTGAGATCATAAAAGTTAATAAACAACATTATTATAACTTCCCACAGATTATACTCCACAGGGAGATCACAGAATTTATAACCTTTTACACTATTACAATCTCCCAGTATAATGTAACAGGGTTAACTATATTACTTAATTCACTATGAGGTGAAAATGAATTTTAAAATATATTAAACAATTGAACTTTAATAAACATAAGTACTTACATGCAGTACACAAATATACAACAGCTATAAATCATTGGGAGTTCATCCAATAGCTATAAGAAACAAAGATAAGAGGACTTGAATATTGTAGAGGTGCAATTATTATACAAATCAAAATAAAACATCAGAATGATTATGACAGTCACCTCTTATTATCTAATATCTTTTACTAATTCTTTCATATATTTAACATCTAATTACTCTGAGTGTTGGGGAAGGTCATTGAAAGGACGTGACCATCAATTGACCTGTGAGCTGGACCCAGGCGATTGGAGGCTCCTCACCCGCTATCCTTGGAAGAGGAGTTCTGCCCATCTTTCTTGTTCCCAGAGGCTGTTCCAAGGACAGAGTCTTGAGATAGTGATGTGGTGTTGAAAACACCTGTACGGTATACCTGACTAAACCAAATTAAGGCCTCTTTACAAACTTTTAAGATTTGGTGGGCAGGGGCTCCTGGGTGGCTCAGTCGGTTAAGCGTCTGCCTTCGGCTCAGGTCATGATCCCAGGGTCCTGGGATAGAGCCCCGCATTGGGCTCCCTGCTCAGTGGAGAGCCTACTTCTCCCTCTCCCTCTGCCTGCCTCTCTGCCTACTTGTACTCTCTATCTCTCTGTCAAATAAATAAATAAAATCTTTAAAAAAAGATTTGGTGGGTAGGTGGGGGACCCATTGCTGCCACCCAAGATAAGCCTTGTATGTAGGTACTCTCTGCTTATTAAAACTGCCACCTACCAACCAGGAGTGGCCTGCCTTTTTCTTTCACCTTCCCCTGCCCTCTGCTTATAGGGGCTGGTTTACCGTCATTGAACAAACAAGCTCGTCCATCTATCTATCCTAATGTACACACCTAAGCAGGACGCCTGACTCACTGGACCACTCAGATCATTCAGTACCACAAACTATGATATCATACCTCCAGGAAAGAATGATGTCTACCATCTATTGGTCTGTGGGTCCTATCAATATTCTTGTGCATTTTCCCTTTTCCTAGAACACCTAAGATGGATAAAATGCCTGCTAATATATATAAGAAGGGATATTAATGGCTGGGAAAGTCATTTAGTTAATCTAAATAACCTATGTTTCTGAAAAATATTGTTATTAGCAATAATAATAATAGCTGTATGTATTAAATTACAAGCTAGCACTAGCTAAATGTTGCAGATAGGTTATTTCTAATCCTTAAGTCAATCCTATAGAATTTACTTATTCACTAGATATGCATTTAATTAATTATTTAATAATATATCTACTATGTACCAGGAAATGTGTTAGTTGCTTAGGATATAATGAAAACAAGATGCAGTCAATGCCCTCATAGTCTAGTGAGGGAGGGAAATGAAAAACATGTGATTAAATATAAAGATTCCAAAAGAAGGGGGACACAGAAGCCAGAGAAGGTGGTGGCAGGAAATGAAATGGGTTGGTAGAGAAATACATTCTAGGAAGAAAGAAGAGGGTTTACACAAAGTAATATATTCTGATAAATTACTGGAATAATGAAATAGCAGCGTATGTGCAGGGTCTCATGGTTAAGTGCCTTGCATTCATTATCTCATTTAAGTTTAACAACAATTCTAAGGTAGGTCCTATTACCTCCATCCCAAGATGAGAACTCTGAGGTTTAGACAATTTATTTGTTTTTTTTTTTTTTTGACAATTTAAGTAATTTGTTCAAGATCACAGAGCTAGTAAGTAATGGAGCCAGATTTTAAACTGACTCTAGAGCATACCTCTACATTATGTTGCCTCCAAAATCTTTCCCTTGAATCACCTTCACATGTTCAAAAAAAGTTGGCATGGTATCACAATATACTGCAGATAAATCTGCCACAAGGTTTATGATATACAGAAGATTCCTCTATTTAAAAGTTTGAACCACAATCTCCTGGCTTTATATTAAACATCTTTTGCATTTATATCTTCTTTATTTTGGTTTTCATGTGTTAGCAAAATATTTGTGTCATTATTTGGCCTTTCCACAATGTAGTACGGAGGTACTTAAATGGCCCATTTTGGGGGATATTCTATTCATGTATTTGGAGGATAGGACATAAAAAGATCTGCTGTCTCCATATTATCCCATAGGTCTAGCTATACAATCTATAAAGGCAGTTGAAATAATTGTTGTCATTCTTTTATTCATTCATTCGACAAATATTTATTAAGCACCTACTATGTGCCTGGAACTATGCTATGTGCAGGAGACAAGATAACCCTTGCTCTCATGATGCTTGACAATCTAGCCAGGGTGAAAGACACTAGACAGTTAACTGCCCAAATAAATATTTAATTATAATTATGGTAAGTGCTATGATGGAAAAAGTACAGGGCGCCTGGGTGGCTCAGTTGGTTAAGCGACTGCCTTCGGCTCAGGTCATGATCCTGGAGTCCCGGGATCAAGTCCCGCGTCGGGCTCCCTGCTCAGCGGGGAGTCTGCTTCTCCCTCTGACCCTCCCCCCTCTCATGCTCTCTCTGTCTCTCTCTCTCTCATTCTCTCTCTCAAATAAATAAATAAAATCTTTAAAAAAAAAAAAAAAAAGTACAGAGTACCATGACCAAAAAACAGGTGTCCTCATGTAAAGAGTCATGACAATTTTCCTTAAAGAAGTGACACAAAAACTGAGTCCTGGAAAATATGCAGATATGAGTAAGGTAAAGAGGGACTGAGGGAAAGATGAGAACCCCTAAGCAGTGGGAACATAATGTGCAAAGCCTGTTGCAGGAAGGGAATTTAAAAATCTGAAAAATGTCCATTGTGATTGAAGCTTAATTAATGATGAAGAGAAAGGATATGAAATGAGACTGTAGAAATAAGCAGCAAATAAATCAGGCAAATGTTTTAGGCTGAAAGGGATTCTTAGTTTTATCTTAAAAGCAATGGGAAGCCACTGAAAAGGTTTAATCTAGGTGGCGGTCTCCATCAGCTTGGGTGGTGACAAAATACCTCCAACTGGGTACCTTAAACAACAGAATTTATTTCTCACAGTTCTGGAAGCTAGGAAGTCCAAGATGATGGCACAGATTTGGTGCTTGGTGAAGTTTCTCTTCTTGGCTTGCAGATGGCTGCCTTCTCACTGTATTCTCACATGGTGGAGAGTGAGAGAGAGCAAGCTCTCTGGTCTCTTCTTATACGGGTGCTAATCCCATCATGAAAACCCCACCTCATAACCTCATCTAAACCTAATGACCATCTTAAGGCCCCATCTCCAAATATTGTCATACAAGGGACTAGAGATTCAACATATGAATTCTGAGGGGACACAATTCAGTTCATAGTGGTGGTGGTAGTGTGTTTAAAATATAGGTTTTATTATTTTTCAGGTATGGTGAGGCCAACAGATCAGGAGATGACTGCCATTGAAAAGACAGTTATTCACAGTTCCTAAGAAGCGACATGCCATGCCAAGCAGGGCCACATGGGAAAGCACCAGCATCAGTCAGGAGGCAGAATGAGCAAGGGGAAAGCATGGATGACATGCTTTATAGTGGTTTCCCAGAGAAAGGCAAGGTAAGAGAGGGCAACCAGGCTTAGCATTGGCTAAGTTGAATAATTTCAGCAGGCTCTAGGGTCTAGGGGCTATCTTTAGTTGTCTAGTACCTGGCCCTGGGGTGATCAGAGCAGAAGAATACTATCTCCTGGAGTGTAAGAGTCAGAAAAAGAAGGTAGTTTAAAGTATGGGCTCTGGATTGGTTAGTCTGAATATGAAAGGTGCCGTCCAGGGTGAGTTATTTGCTGTATCTAAGAAATGGCCACCCCTGGAAAGGACAGTCTCTCCCTAGTCAGTGAGGCTCCAGATGCCAGAGAATCAAGAATACAAAAAATAAGAAAATATAGTTGTTATGGACTGAATGTTTGTGTCCTACCCAAATTCTCATGTTGAAACCCTAATCCCCAATCCAATGGTATTTGAAGATGTGGCCTTTGGGAGGTAATTAGGATTAGATGAGGTCATGAGGGTAGGGGCCCTCATGATGGGATTAATGCCCTCATAAGAAGAGATACCAGAAAGCGTGCAAGAACCCAGAGAAAGACAAATACCATGATTTCACTCAAATGTAGAATTTAAGAAAGCAGAAAACAAAGGAAAAAAAAATAAAAGAGAAACAAACCAAAAAACAGACTCTTCACTATAGAGAATAAATTGTTACCAGAGGGGAGGTGGGTGGGAGGATGAATGAAATAGGTGAAGGGGATTCAGAGTACACTTAATGTTAAAAATAAATAAATAAGAGTACACTTATCTTGATGAGCAATGAGTCATATATGGAACTATTGAATTACCATATTGTATACCTGAAACTAATATAACTCGTAGTTAACTACACTGAAATTAAAACAAAGGTCATTTAACACACACACACACACACACAAGGAGTGGCTACCTGTAAACCAGGAAGACAGCTCTCAGCCGACCCAACCACGCTGGCACCCTGATCTCAGACTTCAAGCCTCCAGACCTATGAAAAAATGTATGTCTATTGTTTAAGCCACCTAGTCTACAGTATTTTTGTATGGCAACCCCAGCTGACTAATACAATAATGAACATACAGTGCCAGATCAGGTTCGTGTGGAGCGTTCTGCAGGGAAAGAGCATAGTTGTGGGAGGGCTACCTAGGTTACAGTAGTCCAGGCCAAGGAAAGTTGCTACTTGGATTAAGTTTGCAGGATTGGGAATAGATATAAGTGACTAGACTTGAGAAACATTTAGGAAGTAAATTAAACAGGGATTTGTGATTGATTTGATACAAAGGTGAGGGAGAAGAAACTCCTAAGGATAACTCCCAGGTTTGTTGCCTAAATACTACAGTTGATGACAGTACAGTTTATAGAGATTGTGAAAACAGAAAATTACAAGAACAATTTCAACATGTTGAATTTGAGGTACCTGTGAGACAGCCAAGTGGAAATGTCAATCAGGCAACTAGAAATACAAATCTGTAGCTCAGAATTAAAGTCTGGACTCCGGGTGTTGGCTGCTTGTTTGTTTAGAGAAACTAAATTGAACTGAGCATATGTTAAAAGGGCATGGATTTTAAAATCTGGGTGATAC